CAAGGATGATTCTGTTTAATTACGAATCTTGCCTATGGAAACAGGACAAGATTTACAAGCTGAATTGAACCCAGGGACAAAGTTGTAAACTTGGATTAATTCTGGCAACAAATCTGACCACTGATCACTGCAAATAATACTGGGAACTGGTTAAGTTATTGACCATAATAAGATTATGCCAGTCTTGTGCATTTATGGACCATATCTTATTGACCATATGGTGCCAGGAACCCAAGAAATTTACCATAAGGTGCTACAAATTTTGGACATTTATTGACCATTACATTGAGTGGGAAGTGGTCAGGTGGACAAAGCAAGGGACATACAAAACACTAGACACACTGTTGCAATGTGATTGGTTAATAATAATATTGACCAGAAGTTAGCTGAAAATGGCGTTGCACAGTTGAATAGAAGAGATGTTGTGAAGTTTAGGGGGGAAATGGTAGATGATGTGAAACTATAAGAGAAAATCCATACCTTTTGTCACAATCCAAGAATGTAGACATGTATTTCTTTTGACTTCATCGAATTAATAAAATGCAATATCATAAAATCATCAAAAATTTAAAGGGAATATACTGTATAATAAATATATACACACACAGTTAATAGAGATCTACAAGCACTCTACTTCCCTTCTCTTGGGATTATTTATATTTTTTGGGAGGATCAACAAATCCTATCAAATAAGTTTCTCAAGACATTTTCTTTGTTTTATACAACTATATATTATATAAATTCCTGATTATTTAAGAAAACAGGCAACCTATTGTTTTACGACCAGGTTTGTGTAATTAATTTAAGATGAGCACTACTGTACCGTAGGCCGCAAAAATCCGAGGGTAAGCCACGCCAAGGTTGTTGGTGAACGTAGGAATGCTTATGTAGGTATGCAGCTTGGGTAATAAGAAGTTTTATTCTTTTATTTTCGTTGATCTGACCAATAGTTGTACCTCCTTGGTGTGGACCAATTCAGCAAAGTGACCTCCACCAGTAGTTGTATTGGCCTTTGTGGAGTTTTTATAACTCTGTTTTGTTGATGTGGTGAGGTTTCACTAGTTGTAAAATGTAGCCTGAGTATACAGAAGCTTGTTTGGTTTTCTACTTAAAAGGATCATAATTTGTCCAGAGTCCACTCGTAAATTAGCATCACTGCTCCACGTATATAAACTTAGCAAACAATAATGCCGGCTCTTTTATTGTGGTTTTTTTAGTACTACTTATGACTGGACCTGTTTCCTTATGATCTAATATAATAATACTAAGTGAAAAAGGAGTGTTGAAGTATGGCTTTCAATTAGTTTATTTTTAATGTTTTGTAAGTTTTTTTAAAAATGCTTTTTATTATTATAGTACATAGTAATTGTTTTTTTAAGAACCAAAATTAAATATTATTTGTTATGTGATATAGTATAACATTGATTTGGTCATAGCAACCTATTAGCAAAGGGCAAGCACTAAACATAACATCAATTTGTTAATGTTATTTGACTGATTTTTTTTTAGTCCTCCTCAGGGTAATACTGACTATACTTATTATAGTGGGTGTCTCCAAGTGATCTATTGTGTTTTGTGAACTTGTATGTTTTCTTTGTTTTTCTCCTGGTCACTAGTTGTTAGTCTCTCAAGTAAAAATCATTTGCACCAATCTTCCAGATATGGCTCCCTAAGGTAATTTACGTTCTTACACATTGCCTCTATTACATCCAGGGAGGAAACCTGCCCAGCAGGAAATCCAATGGTGTCCAGAGAAAATAGGCAATTTTTGTGCCATTTTATGCTGTTTTTAGATGTAATGAAATGTATTTTGGCCAGTGAATAAAAAAACTAATTTAAGAAAAAGCTTGGTCTGACGCTAATCAACAACTGGAAGCTTAATATACCACGTTGGCGCCATCACTGAGCAAGTTTACTGGTAGGCCTATTTAAATAATGAATCTTCAGTCACCAACATCTGCATGCATCTGGACTACTGTATGTTGTATAGCATTACTGCTTCCGCCTTTATAGCATTCCTGTTATTACGATCAACATATTCTGGTTGTACTGTATCTGTTTTGGAATGCATGGATTTGATTAGCATTTAAGCATCAAGGAACCAATGCATTCATGACAAGGGTCACATAGATGTTCTCTCCATCTTTTCTTTTCCTGTTCACCAACTACTTTTAACAAAAGAACAAACAAATCTACAGGACTTATTTTATAACAGAGAAAAAGATTACAAGAAACTAAACTAACTGAATCATAGAATGGTAGACATGTTAGTGAGATCTCCAAAGATGCTTATTGAACTGTAGGAATTGAATTCTGGTTCAATAGAAGGTGTGCACTCCAAATTTTAAAGAGTACAGTTACCTTACAGTATGATTTAAAAGATAGGAAAAAAATAATAAAACTGGGTTTTTTTATTATCAATTTATGATGAAGAGCTACAGAATTGTGTATTGTAAGCAGTATTAAAAGGACTTAAGATAAGGATCACATTTTTTTTTACCTGACTGATTCAGTAACAATCAATTTCTCTGCTGTAGGTTTTTGGATATTATGCTGGCAGGGTAACTATGCCTGCTACATACATTGCATTGTCGGCTTACTGTGATGTTATCAAACACACCTTAGGCTAAAGCTATCATGCATGACACTCTTTCATGAAACGCATATCAAAAAGTACACTCAAAAAAGATTAGGTTTTGGTTGTGAATTAAAGTGCGTTGTAATGATAAAGAAGGTATAGTAGGTCCATTACAACAGCCTTGTTTCTTATCTTTCTATCTACCTATTTTATGCGCTATTAAGTATGCCTATATATATTGTGTTCCATCAATGCTAGTTCCATTTTAATAATATTAATTCCAGTTTTCAATTTGAGACTGAGTTCTCAATTAAAAGAAGCAATTTAACAATATATTGTAGTTACAGTCGCATATTGGTTAGTTTGATAGTCGTGGCTTGCCAGTCGTTTTCAGTTGAACTAAAACTAGGACTTGATTTAGTCGCAGTTAAAACTTCGACTACATTGTTTGTGAATACAAATTAAAGTTAAAGATGCAACTAGCACTAAATGAAGTTCTAGTTCGAAGTTCGACTAAAGTTTGTTTTAAGAATACGGGCGACAGAATTCAGTCATAATTTAAAAAATTGTGTCTAAGCACCTTTGGAAATGGTCTTAGCCTGTAGATCTTTGACTTCCATGAGAGGAAAAACAAAACACTGAATTTAAAAGCATTAAAATGCATAACTGAAATATTGGTGTAAAAAACACCACACAATGTTTCACGGATCCGCTAGTGTTCAATCCCCCTCCTTTAATGTGTATTACATAAGTATAGAAGCTGATTCTGCAGGTGTTGCTATAGCGATCAATATTCAAGTCAACTTCCCTTTCGTGGGGCTGCGTGTACTGGCAGGTGAGTGAGGACCTGGCTGACTGAGGCAATGTTTCTTCAAAAGCGTTTACACAACAGACTAGAGCACACACACTGCATTGAGTGTTATCACAGGCAGATAACCTACATACTTCAAGCAAATTTAACAACCACATTTAATTTTGGCCTCATCAACAAATGAAGTGCTTTTCTTGCAAAAATTGATTAAAGTGGATTATGTTGGAAATCACAAGTGTTTAACGCAACTGTAGTCATAGATTGTAAATTTCTTTGTCGGATAATTTTTGAAACAAATTTGTGGTTGCATTCATAAACCCTGCATCTTACCAAGATCATGAGAACAAATTGGCATTGAAAGGGGATTTAGTATACTCTGTTGATAGTTTAACTAAAGTAAGTTAAGTCGTAGGATCAGACAGTATAAGTGATCCAAGTTTGGGCTTTATATAATACAGAATGAGTCTCTTTGACATTTCATAATTGTTTTGCATACCAGAGATGCAATATTTGATGACTTCATAATTTTATAAATAGTATTTTAGAATAATTGACACAAAATGCTGTGATGTGAGCCACTCCCTTGCCTACATTGTTCTATATTTTCTGCGTTTTTAAATATATAATAATTCAATGATAATATTGTATAAAAATTTGGTATACGTTTTATGTGAAAGTATGTAAAAAAAATTGAATATCAAAAAGCCTTCATACACTTCTTAAATATAAGCTTACTCTGTGTTTTCTTAGGATTTTTAGTGTGTTTTTTTGTTGTCGCATCACATTGCATACAGACCATTACCATTACTATAAAGTGAATAGAATAATAAAATAACTGTAAAAATATAAAATGGATTTTAAGAAAACAAACGCACTACAAGCCGCTCTGTTGTGGGTAACAAAATAAGATTGCTGATGACATTTATCAACACATTCAAGATACACTTCACACTATTATTCTTGTAGTGTAGCAGGTGTTTGCCTGTTGAGTTCCCCCTGAATGGAGTCAATCCAGTTTCGAACAAAAGAATGCTTATTCCAAAATAAATGCCCTTCAGATTTTAATATTAGCTAGCTAAGATGGTTGCCTCTTTATCATTTTGTAAGTCTTTTATCACAAGCTTTAGGCATATGATCTTGGTTAACCCAACATCATCATGCGAAAATTAGATTACCATACAGCGATCTGTAAGGTTATTCAGCTAAGGAAAGAACTCGTTTGTTGTACCCGATCTCATAAATGCGATCATGAATATCATTGTAAAACCATTCAATTATAGTTAATTTTATTTTTTATGATCTCATTTATTGATATATTAGTATATTTTCATTGTTTATTTTTCAGTGATGTCATTGTTATCTTTTCATATATAAATATCTGTATTATGTTCTTTTTAACCATAATTTATAAAAAATAAAATAAATTCATTACATTATTATATAGCTCCCATTCCACAAAATATTCTAAATTGAACCATTAATTTAATCCCAAATGATCTAAACACAAACAACGAAATCACGAGAATCTAAATTGGTGGCGTATAAAATAACTATAATTATTAGTATTTTACTTTTTTTACTGATCATTTTTGATATTTTCAATTTCCATAGAAAGTATACCAGTCACAGTTGCAATTCAAGCAGATGCTACAACAGCATTCCACTACTTCACGCGGCAAAAGAATGTCAACATTGTACCGCTATATTGCGCTATTCTTGGTTGTGTTGTGCTGGGGCTCGTAGGATACGTACTCTACAAGAAATGGTCATTTTATAAAATTAAACTACAACAGCAGAAACCTCACAGGTACTGTATAGTTTGCACTTGTATACTATATTAAATAAAATTTTATATACTTTATTTACGGTATACAGTATATAAACACAAAGAAATTGAATATATTAAACCTACTGCTACACAACAATAATACCAAATGCATATATTTGAACTTTCACCTTATACTTTTTACTTTATTATTTCTCAAAGAGAATCCTGACGAAAGAAGAAAAAACCTTTAACATCTTATATAAATTCTAAGCTATAAATGTATAAGTAACACTAAAATAAATACATATTGTATTGTAAATAGTGGAAATGTGGAAATCCGGTGTTCTGCTTGATGCACAGACGCATTAACCTAAGCCTACAGCATTTAAATAATTTTTGAAGCAACTCAATATTTCTAAGAATACTTTATATGTATTATATTATTTTTTCATTTTCCTATAATTCATTTTTATAATTTTTTCCAGTATATTCCAATCTGATAACTGACAATATAATAGACCAATGTGTCCTTAGACAGTGAATATATAATAATATATTAATTGTTGCTGGCTGGCATCAACATTTATTAATCACAAGTTAATGTATGTTATGTATTCAACAAGTATTATAATTAATTATTAACTGTTTTTCTGTACTTATTTAATGAATTCATTTAATATTCAAGAATAATAAATGTACTGTGAGTCCTAAATCCATCTACCAAGAAATTATATTGTAAATAAATTAACATTATCCTACAATTGGGATTTGTCGTCATGGTTACCTCTTTTCTGCTTTGCACAAGTAGATTAGTTGCCATGGTTACTCTTCTGCTACTTCCTAATGCCTTATGGGTAAAAATCTTCTTTGTGGAGGAATAATGAATGATGTATTGGCATATAGTGTTGTTTTATCACTTTCATATCCTTTACGATTAATAACTCCCTTACACACACGCAAACACACAATATTTAATATACATTTATTTTTTTAACAATGTGAGTTTGCTACAATTTTACCTTTGTGCATGCTCTCAAGGCTATTACTGAATACTATATAAATAATGTTGGATATAAATATTTTGTATTCATGTAGATCTAACTATTTTAAGAGTCATTGAACTGTTTTTATTAGTAGTCATCTGATCACAAAGGTCATAAAGATGATAAAAGCAGTAAAAATTTGTGTTTTTCTCCTAATTTTATTTGTGAAGAAGGAGAGGTTATAAGCATTTGCTTATTTTTGTAGTCATCGGCTGCAAGTTCAACACAGTTGATGAAATTATCAGCTCGGCATCTTGTTGGTCTGTTGGAAATAGTTGAGAAATTGTAACATTGTGTGGTTGGTATGGAGGGCCGCTGGGCTTTACTTAAAATCAGTGGGACATCATTATAGAAAACATGCACCAGAGGTCAATCCAATCATAGCTAATGCCTCTTATGCTATTTACTAAATCCCCACACCTCCCCCCCCCCCCCCCCAATCAAACCACCCACACATAGACATAGGCATATTTGACTGGTTCATTTCGTTGACTACAAATTTTCGTTGAGTACTGTTTTCATTCGACTGGTTCGTAAAATAGACTTCGTTGACAACGAAAATTAACGTAACCAGAGTGCGTTAATCTGCGTTAAGTTATCCATGTGACAAAAACAAACATGGTGGATTGGTCAGTTTAGAAACAACATTTGCGTTAATATAATTTTGTTTAAATTTCAGAAAATTAAAAATTATAATATACCCACATGAAGGCAAAAAATAATTGTAGCCTAACAGAATTCAAAAACTGGATGAAAACATTTCTTTTACAAAAAATCCATACTGCCACAAAGCCGAATCAATCTTGATTACACAGCGTGTCTCGCGGTAACTATGCAGCCATTTTGTTTTGTTGAGTATTTACTAGTTTTCTATTTGACTGGTTGTCTTCGTTAGGTAGGATTTTACCACTGCGCAGTTGGGCGTGGTTTAACGAAGAACGACCAGTCGAATACGGCCATAGATAATATGGTTGCTTGGATTATTGTCTATCGTAATATGATATTTTTTTATAATGCTTTTTTGTTTTGTTTTTGCAGGTTGAACAATGCAGATGTTTTAACAAAAGAGCAAATAAATCAACATTCGAAGTCTTCTACGCCATACTTAAGTAGCCTACAAAACCAGAAACCAGGCCTGATGGATAGTATGCCTAGTATTCATGTTCCACTAATGGCAAGTAAGTAATGGCTCTTACCCCTTGCCTTACACACCACCCCAATGTATAAATCCATTTTATAAAGCCATATACACATGATAGTGGACAGA